TTAGAAAAATCATTTTGGTGAGTGGAGGATGGATTGTACGGCTTAGGGTAGGGAAACACTTGAAGCAGACAGACCCAAAAGCAGGCCATTGCACTGGTGGCAGCATCAGCAAAGAGAAGGCAGTATATCGGGGGGACAGTACAAAGGTGAAATTGATGGGACTTGGCAACAAATTGGACGAGGAGTGGGGAGGCATAGTAAAGAATAGAGTGTGGTGCCTAAGTTGCAAGCCTGAGAGACTGGGAGGATGGTGTTACCCTCGACGTTAATAGAGAAGTTAGGTGGGGAGAGGGCTTATAATTATAACAATAATAGTTAACATTTATGTAGCACTTACTATATGCCAGGCACTGCTCTAAGCACTTTACAAATATCTCATTTGATTCTGAGGACAACTCTGGGAGGTTGGTGCAGCCAATACTACAAAGAGTAACCAGGGAGTCTGTGTCATCAGTGGGGAATACCCAACAGGAGATGGAAGCTACAAACAGGTGTAGATAATAGTCACCAGTATTTCACAAAAGGCATATGAGTGTATTAGATACAATGTCTTCTCAGCTATCATCATCATCATTTTTTGGTAATAAGATCTATGGCCTCTAATACATATTTGTCAAATTAGATTGGGTCAGGTGGAACAAAATATAAATAGTTTTATAACTCAACATATAATGATAAATTCATGCTAAATATCAAGGGTCTGGTTACTGCATTGAGAAGTCCCTTCTAAACCATTGATTTTACAAAGCCACAAAGAGCATTGTGCTGCTGAGGAGGATTGGTCCAAAGTCCAGCTGCTATTCTGATGCCCACAGTTTTGTTGGGACCGTGCCATCTAAGTCATCAAAGGAGGTCTTCAAGGAAAATTTTTCACCAATAAAAAAATTATTGTTGCATAACATTTTGAATCTAATGTGAATAGAAAATTCTGTTTGTACTCCAAGTCTGGTGTGTGGTGTTTTTTCTGCTGTACTTGGATGAAAGCACAAATGCTTAAACTAGAACAGACTTACTTGGGCTGTTTTACTTACTGGAAATATTTAGAGAAATGTATTTTAAGAAACGTCAAGGAATTAATTTCTGAGTGCACAAATTTGCAAGTTGGATTTCTTTTTTCTCAAATATACAAAATGGGTGAGTGGGTGAGGCAGGGATATCGAGGGAGGGGGGAATAGCAATATTGACATGTTAATGACTCATTAAGCTTTTCCCAAGTGCAGCTAAGTGTTGCTATGTTTCCAAAGGTGTCCTGGTTGGACCAAAGTCAGTTACAAATCCTTGCAAGCATGTGGAACTTGTAGCAGTAAACATATTTCTTTGCTATTTAATTAACTCCACCAAACAGAAGCCATCTAAAATACATTTCCAAAGGAAAAACAGCAATCACAGTTATTATAAAACATAGTTTAAACATACATACCACATGCAAACCTAGAGACCAACTCTGGATTTTAAATTTACAATTGCAAAGTAATGTACTCACCTTCTTTTTTCTATTTATCAATTTGTTAAGAAAGTTCTTTGCCTTCCTTTCATTATCCTAAGAATCAAATTCTAGAGAATAGCAGTAGCTCACATTTGTATACTACTTTAGAATTTGCAAAATTCTTCTGTGGTAGGCACCTAATAAATACTTGTCTTGTTTGACTTTCCATTGTAACAACCAGGTGAGGTGAGTGGTATAAGCATTATCACTCTCATTTCACAAATGAGGAAATGAAGAATGAGGGGGAGGGGATGTTAAGTGACTTGGTCAAGGTCATGCGTGAAGTGACTGGATGAAACAGGGCCTAACCCATCTTCCACTCCTTTTTTCCATTATACCATACTGCTTCTGGCAAAGATGTGTTCTGACATTGGACTAAAAATCATAACTTCTGTTCAATCCAAGTTTTGCCTTCCTCTGTGTTTGAGATCATTTTGCTTATTTTTACTTCATATTGTCATTAGATTTCTGACTTTTTTCTTTCACCAATAACCAAAGTGATATGTGACACAGATAGGAATGAAGTGTAGTATAATGTGGTAAAAAAGAGCCCTCATTTTTAAGTCAGAAGATTGGAGTTCTGCCCAGCGTCTGACACTAACTTGCTGCTTGTCCTTGGGTAAGACCTAAGCTCTCTATCCCATGTTACCTAATCTCTAAAATGAGGATGGTTGGACAACATTATCATTATTATTATTTGCGAGGCAATTGGGTTTAAGTGACTTGTCCAGGGTCACACAGCTAGTAAGTGTCAAGTGTCTGGTCTGAGACCAGATTTGAACTCAGGTCCTACTAACTCCAGGGTTGGTGCTCTATCCACTGCAGCACCTAGCCACCCCTAGGGTTGAACAACATTATTGCTAAGATCCACTGCAATTCTTCCTTTTCATAATCCGTGCTCACCCAATCAATAATCAGCAAGCATGTGCTAAGGGCATAATCTGTGTATTGCCCTGTGCTAGGCACAAAGAGCTTACCTTCTAATTGGGGAGAGAACATAAATAAATCAAAACATATAAGATAATTAGAACATATAAGATAATGTAGATGGAAGGTCACTGTAGGGGATGGCATGGATAGATGGGAAGGGTAAAGAGGACCAGGAAAGATTTCCTGGCACAGGCAATACTTGAGCTGAATCTTCAAGGAAGCCAAAAATTCTAAGAGTTGATGGTTGGGAAGGAAAACATTCAAGCATGGAAATAGCCAATGCAAAGGCAGAGTGGTGGGAAATGTAGTGTTAGGAGTGAAGAATAGCAAGTAGGACTGTGTAGCTGCATCACACAGTGCCATGGGAATAGAATGCAAAAAAAGGAAGTTGTCAGGCTGTTAAAAGATTCAAATGCCAAGCAAAGAACTTTATATTTGATCCTGGAGGTAACAGGGCTCCACTGGAGTTTATTGAGGGAGGCATGTTGGTGGTGGTGATATGCTCAAACCTATACTTTATTTTATTATGTTTAAATATTTTATTTTTCCCTACCCGTTAAAATAATTTTTAACATTTTAAAAAAAGTTTTGAGTTCCAAATTCTATCCTCCCCTCCTTCCCCCTCCCTGAGACAGTAAGCAATCAGATATAGTTTATACATGTGCAATCATATAAAACATTTCCATATTAGTCAATTTGTATGAGAAGACTCTAATTAAAAAAAAAGAATGAAAGAAAGAAGGTGAAAAATAACATGTTTCAGTCTGCATTCAGACTGTATCAATTCTTTCTCTGGAGGTGGATAACATGCTTCATCATGAGTCCTTTGGGATTGTCTTGGATCAATGTATTACAAAGAATAACTAAGTAATCTACAATTCTCCATCATACAATGTTGCTGTTACTGTGTACAATGTTCTCCTAGTTCTGCTCACTTCACTTTGCATCAGTTCATTTAAGTCTTTCCAGGTTTTTCTGAAATCATCCTGCTTGTCATTTCTTATAGCACAATAATATTCCATCACAATCATATACCATAGCTTGTTTAGCCATTCCCACAAAAAGAGCTATTATAAATATTTTTGTACAAATAGGTCAGACCTATACTTTAAGAAAATCACTTTGGCAGCTGAGTAGATACTAGATTGGAGTTAGGAGAAACTTGAGGTGAGGAAAACAAGTGGAAAGCTAATGTAATAGTCCAGATGAGAGGTGATGAGGGGCTGTACAAGAGTGGTAGTTATGTGAGTGGAAGGAAAGAGACATATACATTTACAAGAGTTATATGCATATGCATAGTTATAACTTGGTGGTCAGTGGATAGAATGCTGGACCCAGAGTCAGGAAAACCTAAGTTGAAATGCCATCTAAGGCACTTACTAACTTTGTGATCCTGGGCAAGTCATTTGACCTCTATTTGCCTCAGTTTCTCATCTGATTTACAACTCTTCTAGCTTCTTCTGATTCCAGCTTCAACCTCATCATTTAATGTGTTAATGGGCAAATCATTTAACTTCCTGAGCCTTCATTTTTCTGTCTGGAAATAAGCTTCATAATATCAGGGAGATAGTCATGGAAGACACCATTATTCTATATTGAACAACTTAAGGCAATGAATCACTGATATGAATTTCTAAAAGTTGCTTTACATCATTACTGTGTAACACCAAATCTCCTGAAAGAATTCTGATCCCATTCATAGGCTGCAGAATGATTATGATCGTTCTTAGTAGCTACCAGGAGGTGGATCTGAATTCAGACTTATCCTTCAAATCACCCCTTAAGAATTATTTTGGAACTAATACTATAGTCACGGTCCTTTTGACTCTTATAGGCAGCTCCAGAAAACTCAGAAGATGTGCAGGGTTCAATTAGAGCTATACTTATAGAATATTAGCCAATTATTACAGGTATGAATATTCCTGATGTCTCCATCTTGTTAGGTTGTGTTGGTTCTCTTAAGTGAAGAGCAACGCTTTCTTGGAGTGCTTCTGGCTTGTTCCCTTTCAGATTCTTCAAGTAAAATGGTGGTTCAGATTTCATAATGGTAGAAGAAATAAACTTTGAATACACAAACAACCTATTAAGGGGAGAAAAGCCTCAGTTGAAGCATGGAGGGGGGGAAGGGGAGGGGGGAAGGTGTAGGCACGGAGACAGGGACCAGGTTGTTTTTTTATTTGAATTTTCAGTACTTAGAGTAGCACTTTGCCCTTAGTAAGTACTTAAATGATTTCTCATTCATTCAATTGTTTATATGTATATGGCTATGTACAAATATCAATTGTGGCTATGTATAAATTTACATATATTTACTTTATAGTAAGCAATATCAATTCATTTCCATTCTCAAGAAAGAAAAGGGCCTTTGCAATTCATAAAATTCTAAGACACTAAAACATTCATATATATGTCATTACATAATAAGATATAATATAATAATGATATAATATAACACATAGTTATATATAATTAATTATATTATTATAATTATTGATTATTAACAGTTATAATATAAGAATTACATGATAATACATATAATACATGTTATATAAATAAGAAAGAGTCATAGAAATTACAAGTCAAACATTACAAAAAGAATTGCCATAATTCTAGTTTAACAGGTTCTTCTACATGGATATAGAACTAATCCAGTTAGAAGCTATAATTCTCTCATCCTTTGATGCTACGATATTTGTAATATTACAAGATGGTCCTTTGGTCTTCATAGGGTTCCAATTTAGAGAACCTCCAAAGAGGGAAACTTGGGAATATTGTATGCAACCAATAATAAAGACATTTCCTTTTAAGCTAATTGTTTTTCCACTATTCTCTGCTTGTCTTTAAGGTACCATGATTTGTCCACTGCCACTTGGAAATAGTCATTTACTTCGACAGTGAAGTTGCTGCCACCAGCAGGAGCTGTCCGGCTACAATTAATTTAGTGAAGGTTGGAAGGCTTGCCTAGCACAGCTGGGTATAATAATAGTCATATAACTCATATCTCTACAGTGCTCCGTGAAAACACTTGTAGAAAACTAAGTGCATTCAGTTGTGGGAACTTTGTTATATCCTTGCTGTAGGATGGGGGATGCATTCTACAGGGTGCTGGCTTTAAAGGATCTGGGTTTGAATCCTGATTCTATAACTTATAATATGTATAGAAATAGATTCCTTTGGTGACCTCACACAAGTCATTTAAATTCTCTGGCCCTAGTTGCCTCATCTGCAAATGAGGTTAACTTCATGATTTCTAAGATCACTTCTGGCTGGACAGCTATGGTCCATTTTCAGTTTTGAATCCTTTTGATTAGATTTGTAAGATCTGTATGATGTGATCCTCATATAAAACCCTTCAATCTGACCTCTTCTTCATTCTCAGCTCTGTTTTCATCCTGGTATTGATTCACTGCTCTTCCCTTCATCACCCTACATCCGCAGCCACCAACTCCATCTTCCACATAATCGAGCTGATGATTTGGCCCCAGCTCTTTCCCCCTTCCATGTCTCTTGACTTCAGCCTGTGGGCATAGAAATGTCTAAACCTCAACCCAGATCAGGTCTTGTGGTAGGGGGAAAAAGTGGAAAATATGGCCACCTACTAAATTTATATGTATCACGGTAATGAAGCTGCATCTGCGTGCATGAGGCGGTTCAAGGGTCAGGATCATGAACCTCAAATGTGCAAAGCAAAGAGAGCAAATCTGCAAATGTCAAGGGCTTCCTGTAGTTTTTAAAGCATCCCTGCCTAGACTGTGGGAAATGAATAGCTCAGCTCCTGCTTTATCTCTTTAAGGTGCAGGGCCAAGGAGTGGGAGGGAGAGGTCATGGAGGCAAAATTGCAGTTTCATTATCTACTTACTACTCTCCCTTCCCACTCCACATCAGACATGCCAAGAACACTTAGCAGATTCATAGACCAAGATTGGCATCCAAGTTTGAAGGAAAAAAAAAGAAAAGAAAACCAAGGGAATCCATTTAGAAATTGCTTCTGCTACCTCATTAATCTCTTACAACAAATAATACATGCAAAACTCAGGCTAGTGGGCTCTCCATAGAATAACATTTTTTGTGGGGTTATAACAAATTAAAGAAATAAATTAAGTCACCAGCACAGCAGGGAAGTACTTGAAACCTTAAGCTTTGCAGGCTTTTCTTGCATTCTAAAAATAAAATGACAAAAAGAGTCTTTTTCTGAAGGAAAAAAATATGTCTATTAATTGCCAATGCAATTTTATTTTTTTTTCTTTTTTGTTTCATTATTGGCCTCAGAGTGTTCCAAGAACCCCTGCCGTTCTCCACTCCCTACCCTTCAATCTATTGTTCACTGATTCCAAACAGAGGAAAATAAGATAGGGGAAGGAATGGAGGTTAGTAGTAATTGTTTTTTCCGCATGAGAATTTTAGAGAAAAGGGCCTCATACATAGAGGGACAAGAGGAATAGTGTAATACAAGAAGATCACAAAGGTGGGAAGCAGACAGGTTGTTAAGAGTTTTAAAATTCAAACAAAGCACTTTATATTTGATCAGGCAGGGGTGTGTATCAATAAATACGTGTTAAAGGAATGGACTTACATGAATAAGTTACATTCTGTTGATTAAAGACTGCCATATTTCAGACCATATCAAGAAGGCTGCAAAATGAAGAGCAGAGAGTTTGCAAAGTGCAGTGGACAGCAATGTGATAGATTCTGGTCCAGGCTTGTTTTGGATTTTTTCCTGTAAAGTATTCCATATCTATTTGTCAGTAGTGAGGGACAATATAGGCTAGATGATTTGGAGAAAAATAAAAGCAATGGTTTAAACTCACAGAAGATTGAAGGGACATTAGATCTGGGAAGTAATCGTCTAGTCACAATAAAATAGATTGAGAATTAGAAGAGACCTTCAAAGAAATGAGGAAACTGAGTCCAGGGAAGCAGAGTAAATCCCTCTGGTATAGAACCCAAGTTCCAACTCCAAATTTAGTATTCTTTATTCTTTTATTTTGTAAATGAAGCCCAGGAAACTTAAATGACTATGTCCAAGATCATGCAACTAGTTGGTTGAAAGAGTTGGGATTAGAAAATATTTTTCCTGGCTTCTAGTGTATGCAAAGAGCATACCTTAAAGTGCTACATCAATGGTAGTTCTACCAAAGGAGGATTAAATTGAGGGGAAGGGAAGATAGAGACAGAGGAGGAAGGGAGAGATATTTCAAAAAATGACCTATAATAGGAAACAAAAGACACAAATAAAAATCTTTCAGAACCTAGATGGCACAATGAATAGTTACTGGACTTAAAGTCAGGCAGACTAAATCCTGTCTTAGACAAGTCCCAGCCAAGCCACTCTCTCTGTCTGTCTGTCTGTCTCTCTCTCTCAGCCTCAGTTTCCTCATCCATAAAATGGGGATAAGGATAGCCTCTATCTTATAGAGTTGAGTGAAAATTAAATGAGATAGTATTTGTAAAAACACTTTGCAAACCTAAAGGGTCACAAAAATTTTATTTATTATCATATCAAGCATGCATATCTACCTAAAGATGACAAGTGTAAGCTCAGAGGCTCATCACTAGTAAAGACACTGAGTTTCTTTGGATGGTTGCTTGGGGCAGATAATTCCACAGCAAAAGGAACATTAAGAACTACTGAATCTTTTCATTCTATTCTTCAGGGAAGTAATATCAGGGGTGGGAAATTTGCCTAGATTCAAACTACTCTTATTTGGAGCAGAGCTTAAGGAAAAAGAGAAAAGTACCAGATCTCCATCATTCCTGGCCCCTACCTTCCCATACATCCTCAAATACTTCGAATTGTTTGACTATAGTCCAACTGTTACCTATGTCCTGTGAAGACAGCACTGCATAGAATGGGTTCAAACTCTGGCAAAGAAGTATTTTAAGCACAACAAAGAACTCACAGAAAGGGGTCTGAGCTGCTTAAATGGGTGGTCAAAGAAAGCTACTTGTGTAATAAGTTTATCTGTTTCTTACCTGTTTAGGTTTAGGTTAGCTTAGGTTGACTCAGATTGGCAGAAGTGGAGTTCCACCTCCAGGCTGAAGAAGATTAGTTATTTTGTGAGGTCATGTTGAGTTCTCAGAATCTATAAATGCCAAAAAAAACCCCCAAAACCAGGCATTTTCATTTAATTTATATGAAACTCCTATAACTTGTTGTGCAAGAATCAGACAAAACTTTTTTTTCTTCATGAGGCAGGATGGCTATTGGTCACTGAAGTCTATTGTCTGATTATGAACCATCATCCTTGTCTCCTCCTTTTTCTCCTCCTTACTTAATATGACAGAGAGGAAACCTTTGATTGAAAGTTGGTTTTTTTTTGTTTGTTTGTTTGTTTTTGCTTTTAATGTGCTTGATTCAGTTAAATAATACAATGGATAGAGTACTGGGTTTGGTATCTGGAAGACCTCAGGTCAAACCCAGCTTCTGACACTTACTATGTTGACCCTAGGCAAGTCACTTAACCCTGTTTGCCTCAATTTCCTCATCTGTAAAATAAGCTGAAGAAGGAAATGGCAAACCACTCCAGTATCTTTGCCAAGAAAATTCCAAATGGGGTCAAAAGAGTCAGACATGACTGAAACAACTCAACAACAACAACCACACAGAACCTTAACCAGAGTTTCCTAACCCCATTGGGCCCCAGTTTTCTCATCTTTAAAATTACTATTTGAAAAGATTCCATCCAGTTCCAAAATTCTATGGTACTCCTATAAATTTCTTTTCTTTATGCCCCATTTAATTTTTAGCAAATGGAATTTGTCCACCACTTCATATGTTTTGTTTTGTTTTGTTTTGTTTTTAATAGTATCTGACATTCCTCACCTGACAATAGAGACCCAAAATATCCTTGAGAGACTGTCAAGAGATCATTTGTTCAAATCTTGGCAAGTGAAAATAAAGTGTTCCATGATAAGCACATCATACTCACACAAAATAACCTCATATAATGAATTTGGGATTGTTTTCACTTCTCAGGTAAAATTTAGGTCATTCAGGGACATGGACCATGTTTAGTTTTTATTGCCATAGTCACTCAGCAACTGAGGGTTCTTGGCATTCCAATACAAGACAATGAGTGATTCAGTCTTTCAAACTTATGGAAAGTGTGTAGGCAGGATAATCTCCTCCTTTTAGCCCCAAGCCCTTTAGAGGTCTAAAGGCAGAGACTGTTTACTTTGTCTTCTATGTAATCTACCTTTCAGTCCTTCCTGTCCAACATAATCTGTTTACTGAGCCAGATTAGCAAAGAAAACTGGAAGTCCATGTCCTCAGTGACAAGGTTCTAAATGGTTACAGTGTGTACCCAGAAGCAGGGGAGGACACCTTACACTTGAAGGGAAGGTGTACTTTCTGATTTAACTTTTTATACATAGGAAGAACAGGCCAACTTGTCACTGAATTTGCAATTCAGAAATTTGAGCAATCCTTGGTTTTAACAATTACCTTGTTGAAACATTTCCTTCATCTTTGGTAAGTGGTTTCCTATGCCATTAAATTAGATTGTAAACTTGCTGTGGGCAAGGAGCTGTGTTTTACATTTCTTATGTGCTCCCAACAGATCTAGTAAATTGTGGAGAATAGAGCAGGTGTGATGCCTTCAATAAGGACTTGGCATCATAGAATCTTAGTTGGAAGGGACCTTTAAGGTGATCTTCTTGGTATTCCCAACACCTAGCCATAGTAGGTGCTTAAGAAATATTAGTGGAATCAAATTGAATTGAATTTATAACCCGTTGTAGGAATCTCTACTTTGGCATCTCTGAAAAATGGCCTCACTCTTGATGGAAATAATTTCAGTGACTAAGACCTCTCAATTTCATGAAACAACCTGTTCCGTTCTTGGATAGTCCTAGTAGAATGTTTTTTATGTTAACCCCAAACCTGACTATCTCTCACATTCATGAAGTAGTTCTTCTGGAGTTTGTAAATTAATTGGTAAAAGCAGTAGGTTTGGGTATCCTTTCATTTTGTGATGGCAATGGACATAAACTTGCATGTACTTTTACTGACATGAGAATATTATAGAATGTCTGACCTTGACTAGATAAGACAGGAGTAAACTGTTTTCTCCACCTTCACTTTGTTCTCTGTCAGCCTATTGATGAATTTCATATCATATGCATGAGTTTCATTGTTCCTTTTTGTTGTGTTGTTAATTCTGTAGCTTTTAAGAATGGATATCACTCCAAGGAAACATGAAGAAGTTATAGCTCTTCAAGAGCACATTTCGAGGACTATTAGAAATACTGCAGCATCTGCTGGTGTGGGGAAACCAAATATTTCAGTGTCATTCAAGCTGGAAATGAAATATGATCAGTCACACCAAAGTACAAAGAAAGGTGTGGTTGAAAGTGAAATAAATTCCAAGAATATCTCATATATTATTGCTGTAAAATAGCCTAATTAATCCTCAGAAAACAAAACCTCCAGAGAAACCTAGCAAGTTGAGGAGTTGTTATTGATTCCTCTACATTGAAAGATAGACTTCTTGAAATTCAAAGAACAGTGAGAAGACCAGGCTTAAAAAAAAAAAAAAAATCAGCAGCTAACTCTTAGAATGAAGAGGGGAGGATTCTTCTTGTGGACAAGACAATACAAAGATTGAAATACTGATGCCTGTAAAAAGGTAGTTTTTACTGTTGAAACTAACTTTTTCATTCAGGGTTATACCAAAACTATTAGCAGAAGAAATCTGATAGATGAGCCTTAAGATCTAAGCATTTTCATATGGCTGAAAAACATTTATCCTACCAAAATGTTTTAGAGATGTTTTTGTCTTGTCTTGTCCACACTGAGGTAATGGTGAACTCTGATAAATATATTGATACACTCAAAAGCAGAATAATTCCAGAATCATAGAAATTGTCAAATTGAAATGGAATACTGCAACCCAACTTTGCACCATACCATGTTTTGTGAAAGGTTAAGAAATGTATGCAAGAGATGGAGATAAACATGCTTCAATGGCCTGCCAACTTAACTGATTTAAATCTCAATGAAAAATGGTGGGCTGTAACTGAGGCTAGAGTTGGGAGGGAAATGGATTGTTCATCAAAGGTATGCTTAAAAATCCAATGTGATATGTAATTTTGTGATGAATTAAGGCTGTGTCAAAATCTTGTATATTCAATGCCAAATTGTGTAAAATAAGTGATTACTACTAAAAGACATTGAAAAATATTAATTTTAAATGCAAATGGTTGTAAGATTTATTATAGAAACCAGTCAATTTAATTAATTTATTTTGTCCCAATTCATTCACATATCACTGTAGTTCCATCCTCAGGACCAGTACTAGTTGATTGATATAGTTATTGACACTAGAGATGGACCAAAAGTTTTGCATCATCTCTCAGGTTGGAGGAATGAGGAGAATAAATCTTACTTTTCTTTTCAAGTTAATGATGGCTGAAGAGATTTAATCTTGAGTGATTTGCTAAACTTACGGTTTATTGCTCACCTTTCTGTGATCCCTGGTGTGGGTGTTTTTTGTTTGTTTGTTTGTTTTGTTTTGTTTTTACTCAGTCAAATAATTCCTAAATGTAGTTTATGCTCATCCCAGGTGGTGCAGTGGATAGAACACTGAGTCAAGGGTCAGGGAGACTTGAATTCAATTCTGGCCTCAGATACTTACCAAATGTATCACCCTGGGCAAATCACTTGACGCTTGTTTGCTTCAGTTTCTTCATTTATAAAATGGGGATAATAATAACACCTACCTCCCAGGGTTGTTGCGAGGTTTGAATAAGATAATAATTGTAAAGCACTTAGCAGAGATCTGGCACGTAATACATGTTATGTAAATGTTTGTTTTTGTTGTTATTATTATTATTATCCACTAAGTCCTATTCCTTTCCCTTCCCAGATCAACCCATTTTAAAAATCACTTTTCTTCTCTGAATTTTTACTATCTGTGCTACTTATGACACATTATATACTGTCTTAACTTATATGTATGCTTGAAGGAGTGTGTGGGGTGTTTAGGGAGGACTAGCACCTCTGGTGTGAGGACTTGCCAGGCTCTATTCAGGGCTGCTCATCTACCTTTGGTGTCCATCTTCACCAAACTCTCACCTGTGACTCCAAGAAGCTGTAGCATGTGTAGTGACCACACCATGATAAAAAAAAAGAACATCTTGACAGATGGGCTAAACCAGGTTGAAGGTAACCAAAAGGACTCAAACCTATTGATGAATTAGGGAGGTATCTACCCCAAGCATGTGAAAATTTCCCTGTTAGTATTGGCAGATGAGAACAATTTGTTTCAATGAGCATGAAGGCAGTGGAATGGATATCAAAGATGTCAAGGTCATCCACTGCATCCCAAGACATTACCAGCTGTACTGACTGTTGTCTTGCCACCAGACTTCAATGATTCTGGAAGTCAGAGTGCAGCTGATGACTTTGTGGAACTCTGCTTCACTTAAATCCAATTCATGCCAGAGTCAAGACTTCATCCCATGATGGTGCTTTTCAAAATGAAGGATGAATAACATATGCTTAAATTGTTTTTTTTTCACATGTACGTGTCTTATTTCTCTAACCCAAATATAAATTCTAATTCTATCTCTGTGACCTTGAACAAATGATGTAATGTCCTTGGGCTTCAATTTCCTCATTTGTTAAAAGAGAGGATTGTACTAGTTCGCCCCTGGGTTTTTTCCAGCTCTAGATTTTTTTCAATGATATTTGGAAGCAGAGTCTATTTTTGTGTTTACCGACATATCCCCAAAACTAACAGCGCTTCACGCAGAGTATGCTTACAATTTATGTTAGGTACTTAGAGAGCTTATTTTCTTTGAAAAGAGACTTTGCAACCTAGAGGAATAGGCACCATGGGTCTTTGAGTAATATTTGAGGGCGTGGCCCAGTTCTGATTCTTCCTAACTGTCTGACCCTGGACAAGCCACTTCAGCTTCTTGAGCCTTAGCTGCCTGTCTTGTAAAAGGGTATCTTCAAGGGTTATTGTGAAGAAAGAAATTGGCTATATTGTTCTGCTCTATGGCAGCTTTTATTATTACCTGCATATAGGCGACCAAGTTATATAAGAAGTTAGCACTTTGGCCTTAAACCTTTAAATATCCAGGCCTGCCCATTTCCAGATCAGCTAGTCTATATTTTTGGTCTAATTATGGCAATAATGGAGAAGTGACAGAGAGTGGGAAGTATGGGAGGTGTAATTTTTTGGGGGGTATCTTTTCCAAATATTTTCTTTTTGTTCAGTCATTTTTCAGGTGTATTCAATTCTTTATGACCTCATTTTGAAATTTTCTTGGCAAATATACTGAAGTGGTTTGCCCTTTCCTTCTCCAGGTCATTTTACAGATGAGGAAACTGAGACAAACATGACTAAATAACTTGCCCAGGGTCACAAAGCTAGTAAGTGTCTGAGGACAGATTTGAACTCAAGAAGATGTCTTCCTGACTTGATGCCCTGCATTCTACCCAGTATGTCACCTACTTGCCCATATTTGCTTAAGGACCTGCATTTTAAACCCAGGTCAATGAGTGGAGGCCATCTTTGCTTTATTGGTACACAGTCTGACATGTGAATGATAGAAAAATGATTTACTTGGTCCTTCAGCAGAGCTGACATGTATATTTGTTAAATGTTCCATCATTCTGAACAATTTATACCTACAGAATCATCATTTAAAAAGAGCATCTGGTCCACCCCTGCCTAGAGGCAGGCACATCTCTAAACCAGGCAGGGAAGCAGGTAATCTATTCTCTTCTTGAAGAACTCCAGGGACAAACACTGCACAACCTCCCTCTTGTTGGTCTAGCTCAGTATTTTATCACTCTGACAGTAAAAGTCCTTCCTCACATGCAACAGAAATCTTTCCTGTTTTCATGTAAGTTCAGTTCTTCCTACAAGGCCTTCATGGCCAAGCATCCTTTTCTTTTAAAAAAATTAATTTATTTTGATTTATCAACAATCACTTCTATAAGCTTTTGAGTTTTAAATTTTTCTTCCCCTCCCTCCTCTCCTCCCTCCCTAAGATGGTACATAATCTGATATAGGGAATGTATATATATATATATATATATATATATTCCTATTAAACATATTTTTACATTAGTCATGTTGTAAGGAAGAATTAGAACCAATAGAAGGAACCATAAGAAAGAGGAAACAGAATAAAACAGAAGGAAAAAAAAAGAGCAAATAATATGCTTCAATCTACATTCAAACTCCATAGTTCTTTCTTTGGATGTGGATAGTATTTTCCATCATGACACTTTTGGAGATGTCTTAGATCCTTGCATTGCTGAGAAGGGCTAAGTCTATCAATGTTAGTCGTCGCACAGCATGGCTGTTACTGTGTACAACATACTCCTAGTTCTGCTCACTTCACTCAGCATTAGTCCACACAAGTTTTTCCAAGTTTTTCTGAAGTCTGCCTGCTCATCATTTCTCATAGCACAATAGTATCCCATTACATTCATGTACCACAATTTGTTCAGCC